TGTCCAGCTAGAAATTTCCTTGCTACAACTCAACAACCAGAAGTTAGTCGGATTTGAAAAAGTTAAAAATAAGATTTTGATCTGCTGATGTAACGAGAGCCAAACATGATACATAATTTGAATTGTGATTAGATGTGGGTGAAATTTACGTCAATGAAGAACCTTTCATGTAACTTCGACCATCTCCAATTTCTTGTATCATTTGACCATTAATTTGAGGTCCACACATAAATCGATCTGTGCCTTGTCATATGATAGGGGACTGAGAGACTTAGGTGTGACACACCCGACGTAGAAATTTATGGCTCGTCCAATTTCAAGGCAATTATCTTTCTTCATAGAGGAGTACATTTTTTCAATTCATGAAACATGATTGCATGTTACTATTATTGGTATAAAACATAAATGAGGGATTTTTCTCAAGAAGTAGTATCAAAGTACAGTTACAATTCCTAACAGATAAGCCCCTCATCCATCCCTCAGCTACTATTCATTAAATTGAAAGTTTCAATTTTATTCTCATATAAAGGTTTAAACTGTTAATTATTAGGATGTTCATTAAGAAGTTATATAATAGCCATTTTTGTGGCTTACGTCCTTTCACAGAGAATGGATTCCACGTACTCCTCCATGATTTTTAGGTAATTTTTATCATAACCGTACACTACGGGAACCATTCTTGCAATATTGAGGGAAGCCTTCCTAAATGAAGATGGAAATGGATTTGGAGAGAGGAACTCCTGGTTCAGCTGCTTCCAAGCCTTTGAAATCATTTGCATAACATGTTGGCGTGCATCCTCCATTGTAATGCCTTGATGTTCCTTCATGTAGCAATCCACATAAGATCCATCTCGGCCATCTTGATTCTCATCCTACAGTATGCTTATACAAAAGCGTTACCAGATAACTCTCATCTTGCATATGTAGCAAAAGGTTGAATGAGATATCTTACCTTGGCACTTCCCAAGTCATCCCAGAGTCGAAGAATTGTGGCCGTGGATGATATTATGCCTGGATTGTTGTTTACTAACTCCATATTTTCCTTGGTAATATCTTGACCCAACAGAAAGAAAATGTGTACTAGCACCACATATACTCCTGTGCTGATGATCCCATTTTTCAAGTACTCCTCAGGCTTTGGGATCTCCCCCGCAGCAAACCATTTTGCTTCCACTAGAAATGCATTGCATAAACTTGCCCACTGCAGCATATGAGGGAATCACTCGCAAGCTAGTTGTGAATGTTTATTTTATTTTATTTTTTTGAGCGTATGTTTATTAAATCCCTTGATAACACGGGCTACGACTGTTACGTACCGTCTTCCTTAGGGAATCAATTGGGTTCCATCCATGCTTCTTGTACACCTTGTGACTAATTTCTTTAGTTATCTCATCAAGAGCTTTGAGACATATCTTGTTGCAGTCTGGCAGTTGGTCCATGTCTGTATAATGCCATCTATATATGTACGCGAGGAAATGGGTCAATCTGTTAATATATATAATTTTGATACATATATATATATATATATATTATTTATCTGTCTTACTTTTCAAAAACTAAAAAAAAAAATTTTAAATTATATTATTTTAATAAACTTTCATTAAAGAAAATTAAAATACCATATCTTCAAAGAATAAATCAGACTTTTGTTAATATTTTTTTAATGGTATTTTATTAAAACAATATAATTTGAAAATAATTTTTTTTTATTTTTTGAAAGTATGACATATAAACACTATTATATATACACGGATAGTCTATATTGTCTTGACTCTCAAAAACATTGAAATTCCAACTTCATAAACAATATATTCCAATGAAAATTTTCAAAAACTAACTGCTGGATATAGTTTTTAAATAATGTAAATCACGCATATCAATTTTTAAATTAATTGAATGTAGATAACTAGTTCATTGCTTATAAAAAATTTACTACCATTAAATATTTGTTAGAAAATACTAATTTCTTGATCAAATGATTCTAGATTTTAGATTAATTTAAAATTGATATTTATGATCTATATCAATAGAACATTAAATCTCATAGTTATTTTTGAAAATATTCATCGGAGAGTATGTGCGTATATATATAAAATAATATATATTAGTCTCAACTTTCATAAAAAAAATTAGAATTATTACTTCAAAAACACCACTCTCATGTGAATATTTTCAAAAATTAATCTTTTAATTTAATTTTTTATTGATATAAATCATACTAATAAATTATAGTATATATTTCATGGTGTTAAATTGTGTACATATAATGAATGCACTAGCTAGTTATATATTTCCAATTAATTTCTAAATTGATATGTGTGATCTACATCAATAAAAAACTAAATTTAATTGTTGATTTTTAAAAATATTCATTGCATGGTGATGTTTTTTAAATTGGGACTCCAATTTTTTTAGAAGTGGGAATTCACATATATTATATGAAAAAAGTCAAAATCATAGCTTCCTTGACACCTTAAATGCTAGAACTTTTTGTGAAATTATTCAAATACTTTTAATAAA